CGAGTCGATCTAGCCATGTCCGTCTGTCTGTCTGTCCGTCCACCCGTATGTATGAACGCAAGGATCTCAGAACCTATAAGTTCTAGAGAAATTTGGAATGTAGGTCCTCCTAGTCCTTGCGCAGCTCGAGTGTGTTTCTTGTAATCGATAACTTACTCCGTTTCCAAGCAATCGATAAAAATCGATATCGAAATCCTGTTTTTATGAGCAAATCCCGCAAATAATAAGAGCTAGAGACACCATCGATAAAACAATTAGCTTCTTAAAGTGTTGGTAGAAGAGGGTTGGGAACTCCCGACTAGAGCCTCTTACTTGTTTTATTATTGTTTTTGTATAGTTTGTAAATAACGCATTGCTTATATAACATGTATTTTATTTCAGATTGGAGATAACATTTGCAGCAATATATTTAATGATACCCAAACTGTCATTAACACACCGTCTTCCCACAAACCTGATGATTTGGAATGGTATAAAATAAATTAATAAAAGTTTTTGTGCAAATAATTTTACTAGATTTTAATGTTTAAAATTTTGTATTAATATAAAATAAATATTTTTGCATATATTTAATGATATTATGTTTACTTTTAATATTGATTTATTTTGGATACACTTCAATCTAATAACTTTTTATAAATCTAGAGCAACAAAGGGAATAACGTCTCAACAAAGGGAAAAATGTCTTGCGCACAGGCGTTTTTTGTGAGGTAGATAAATGTAATTGTCGAGTCTAGGTGATCGGTATTATACAGTGGGACCAGATTGATTAAGGTGCGCCCGATGTGCAAGAATTGCCAGATAGTAGAAATGTTTAACAGCATTATTTCATATTACTCATCCCCTCAAAGGAGTAGAAATGCGATCGAAATTCAGAAAAATTCAATTTGTGGAAATACACATACACACTCACAGTTTAACGATCTTTAGACATTAATGATGGAACATTAAGAGCCTTGATAGTAAGCCAAAGCAGTTTCCTAAAGTGAGATCGAAACAGAAATCAGTGATGCCGTTATATCATACAAAGCAATGGCACTCTAACTCTCTTGCTCTCTTAAGGTTTCCCTCCCTCTCTTTTGCTTTGAATTTCTTCCTATTTAAAGGGAAGACCCAAAGAGTCGTGCTGAGGTTGACTACCTCGCAAAAGGTTGATGTTACTCCTGGTGTTTCTAAAGGTAGTTATCTTAGCCCTTTACTCTTTACTCTTTTTATAAACGATCTCCCCTCTGTTATATAACATGCTCAAGTCTGAGGCAGCAGTCTTTACGCAGAGTGTGGGTTCCATCTACAAGTCCAGTTTTCGGAGCTCTTAAGGTACTCCTGCAGGATGTCAGTTGCTTCATACACACATTTCATTTTGGCAAGGCATGCGAGGATTTCGTTTGCCGTCGGCATGTCGTGATTAAAATGGCTGTATAATGTGTGGCCCAAAACGCTGCCTTGTAGAACGCCCGCTCGTATACGTTTGGTATGGGAGGTTATGCCATCTTGCACCACTTGAAATGATGTTTCGGTCAGGAAACTTGCAATGATGCGGAGAGGGTACCAAATTCAGTCTGACTCCAGGAGAGGTTTAATGGTTGAAACGCTGCAGCTACAGGGATTTCGCCCAAAGAGCAATCGTCTGTATGGCGCTGGAGGTCACTGGATGATACTGCGTTTGCATTTGCAGGTTTCTCTTGGCTGTGTCGTGAGATTTCGAATAACGCCTCTATGAATGTCGGAGTTTTTACCCTAGATACATAAGGCGCCAGGGAGAGAAACCTTGAACTTGTAGGCGTCTGGGCCAACTGCTTGGTCTAGGGTCTGCTCTATTGCGACGATTTTATTGACTCCAGGTGGCTAGCGACGATTCGTTGGCAGTTTCCGTTTCGTCGTTTTCGATGACAGAGGCTACCTGCTCGTATTTACCCTTGTTTTTTTGAGGCAACCCTTTGTCAACTGACCAGCGGTTCCTGAAAGGCTGGCGTATTACTTTTGCTCCTTAGAGGGTGCAGAGCAGGGTTCTGAATGATATAAGAGTTGCAAGACGCAGCTTCCAGAGAGGATCACAGATCGACATATGTAGCGACCGCGGTTGGCTCCAAGGAGTGATTGGTGGTTTTGGGGCGTGCTCTAGTCTGCTCTAGTGCGACAAGGCTTGTTCCAGTGGAGGAAGAGGTCCTGCAGCCGCTACTGGACGCAGTGGTTGTTGTTGTTGTGCTAACGGAGTTGGTGTGGTAACGTTGCACCATTGACTTCGTTGACCGGTGTTGATGCGTTTACTGAAGATGCCGTGAGTTATGTGTCATAACCCTTCTAAGATGTTCACTCTTCTGTTTCGCGAATGTTTAGACCATGGTGAGGAGTTTCTTGCATCAGGGAGCTGGTATACCGGTGACAAGAGCACATTACGGTTGAATGTTTTGTTTGAATAAGTCGCCACTATTTATTTTGCGCGAAAGTAAATTGATGAACAACAAAAAAAAATGGTGAGGAGTTTCTTGCATCAGGGAGCTGGTATACCGGTGACAAGAGCACATTACGGTTGAATGTTTTGTTTGAATAAGTCGCCACTATTTATTTTGCGCGAAAGTAAATTGATGAACAACAAAAAAAAATATTTAAAAATAGTTATAATAGCGGTTCAAGACGACGCAGTTGAAGGCGCAGCAGAGGGTGGCCGATCCGATGGTCGACCGCTTAGACGCACGTGATCGATCTTTGGAGCGACGTGTAGGGTTCATGGTCAGCCGCATGGATGCTCGAGACCAGCAGCTCAAGCTAAAGTTCCATCAAATGCGGTCTTAGCTTAAACGCACCATGTAAGGTGGCTTGCATGGCCGTTTCAGCCACACCAAAAGCACCTACGCGGCTAAGGCATCAGCAGGCGCACTCTTACCGCAAAGGCGGTGCCATGCAAGGCGCGTCACAAGCTGAACCAACATCCAACCAATCCGTGACTGTTAGCCACCACTATTCTGGAGGAATTGTAAAGATGCCGGATACCGCGCCACCTCCTGTGTACGACGGAACAAGAGCCTGGCCTGGCGTAGGAGTATTACTGGTCGGAGATTAAAAAATGCCGGAAGCTCCAGGTGAGCTTGCGTGGCCGGGCCTGGCGCTTCCACGTCACCTTGCCGGAGGCTACGCTGCGTAACCCGGGCACCTTGACAGAAGCGCCCAATATGGCCAATCGTTTTTAGGCGCAATGCCGAAGGCGGGCTATTGGCACCGTGCTGAACGTTTCAGGCGCATTCCTCAAAGGAGGACACTCGCGGCAAAAAACTCCGAGTGGCTTGAGTAAACCTCTACGCCGGGTGACCCCGGTGGAAACCTAGAGCAGGCCGTCCTGCGGGGCGAAGGTTTGCAATTAACCAAAACTTCCCTGGTTAGCATCCGCTAGCATTATCTGACTATTCGGAGAAGAACCTTGCCGCTGCGTCAAGGTCTGGCAATTCACTGGAGCTCCGGCCCTGATTACATTTCCGCTCAAACAACCTAGTCCCGGGACCATATACTCCATTCGAGGACTTTGAGGATGTCCAGGCCCCGTTATTTGAAGAGCTGCCGCCCGGCGTGAGTGCCCGGCAGCCGCCACTAGATGAGAAAACATCCGTACGACTTTTGTACTATTTATTCATAATTAACCTCTCTTTCCCTTCTACTTCAATTTTCTTCAAACAACTATGCGTTTGCATGAAACGATGATTACAACAAGCATTAAGCATTCAGGTCTCTGGGTCTTATGGGTTGCGATTTTGTTAAGCACAACAAATTGCAAAAAGACGAGTTTTCTTTAATATAAATACTTATTAAATACAATTCAGTATTGGGAATATTAGGTTCTAATGCATACGTTATTGTATATCCTTTTTGAACTAACCGTAAAAAAAAAGTGATATCTCTGTTTTGAAATGATAACTGTCAAATTGTTTTGTCAACGAACAGCTAAATTATATTTCATCTGCGTAATAACCGCCCAGGAAAACCGGATTATTATCATAGTAAACCTCGTTAGCAGAAGCTGTTAGGATACTACGAAATAACGCGTCATGCGTTTATAACTCTTACCAAATTAAATACACAACTCATTGCCGGATATGGAAGTGTAATCGACACGTAGTGTTATCGGTAGCTGACCTACAACATTTGGCAAGCATAAATATAAAGTTATCGATAAAAAAATGCATTTACATACGAAGCATATTAATTAGCCAAACAATGGATTTGATAACGTAAAAAATAATTCGCCGGCGTTATGACCACAAAATCTTAAATCGAATGGACTCGATCATCTATTGGTTATTTACATGCAAATTAAATACACAGTGAATTTAACACACCTGAAGCAAGTTGTATTATAAACGGAATTTTAATTTTCCTTTTAGATTTAAGAGGATCTATAACGCTCTTAAATGTTATCTTTCTCATTAGCAATTATAAGAGCCATGGAAAAACTTGTGATCGTGTAGAATTATAAAGCCAAGTGCTGCTTCCTTGAACTGGAGAACAAGAATGCAAAGCATTAACGCTGTAAGTGAAGTTAGTCAAATTGATAGGGGTTTCAACGGTTTCTAATATCTATATGTCTTGAAATCGAATCTTAATTTAAAATATATTTTATATATATATATATATATATATATATATGTATGTATATATATATTTTATCAACCTAACATAGGTTTCTTCTAATTTGGTATGTTCCATTTTCGACCTTAGGCAAAAAATTAAGATGCCGATTTGTAAGGAACCAAACGTAAGTGGAAACAACGTGTTCTTAAAAGCGTTTGTAATATTTATCGTTACACACAGTTACACTATATGAGAAATTAGAAACAGGTATTCTAATATCGATCATCTCTATTAAATAACCCAATATAAGGTTGTATATTAATCCAGCTGGTGCTTGTAATGCTTGTTTGTGGTGGAAATTAATGGTCATATTATAGATGCTATTTATCTAATATGCTGTAAAGTTTTCATATATTAATACAGTCTGTTTTTTTCTTGAAAACGTGTATTTGCAGTGACATCGATATTTACTGTGGCTTCAATATTGATTTTATACAACATTTAAACGAATAATAATTATATTTACCCACATATATGAGGAACCATTGATAAAAAAAAATGCACTCTCAAGGACAGGGTCAAACGCAGCAGCATTCTTCGACACATTCCCTTCTTCAGCCGCAAAATCATTTACCTAACAATGCCATTGGAAAATCTGTCGACCACCAATCTATATCAACTGTCGGTAAGAAAAAATTTCTTAATTTTTATGTTGATGTATATATGCATCGGGAAATCTCTTTTAAGCACAGAAAATGTACTATGGCAGATGTGTATTGCTGCTAATGTACAGACAGATCTATCCATGTTCCGTTCCCTTCCATAATTTTGTCACTAAATGTTTAATGCAAATAAATAGACATCGTCGACCCGAGTCGAGTCGATCTAGCCATGTCCGTCTGTCTGTCCGGCTTAGAGACTAGAAAGGCTACAGATTTAAATTTTTGGAACTCTAGCTCTGTGTACAAAATTTGGCTTTCTTTTAGGTATTATTCGAATTTGTCCAACTTTGCAGAAAAGGCTTTATCCCTTTTCCCATTGAAAAGGTAAAAGTGTATTTGTTGACTAAGCCTGAGTCTGTTTCCGGTCACTGTTTATGTGGAATGAAATGTAGGAAAGATTATAAAGGGATTGTTTCTTATCATCATTTACGCCTTAATACCCTACTGAAATGTCCATGAGAATTACATACATTCTCGGAGGAATCCTGGTACACGACTATCCATTCAATCTATCCTTCAATTCGATGCATACAGCTTGTCACCAAAACAAGCACAATACTATTATATTGCTAGTTTCCTTGTTCACAGGACGCCGGTGAACCCATTTGGCATTCCATTTAATTGTATATATATTTTGTCTTCGTATTTACAATATCGGTTTTCCTGAATGCCACATTTGACTATGTCCATAAATAATTGTTTAGGTATAGTTGTTTGTTATTATATTGTATATTTTCCACTGTGTCCAGTATTGCTCGTTCCCTATTGCTTTGGTTATTCTTAGTTTTGCAATCTTTAACTAATGGAGAGAATTTAATGCGCGCGTTCATTCCGTTCCCAATGTATTTTATGAGAGGGAAGTCTTTCGGGAGAGCGAACTTCGTCCCTTTTGCAAGTGTTTCTATATTTAAATTATTATTTGGACATGGCTACGTCGACTCGGGTGTTGATGCTGGATGATGCTACAAGAACAGGTGTATATACTGTCTGAGGTCGGTGACGTTTCCTTCTGCCCCTTTCGTTATAATTAGTGTTAAATTTATTAAATAAATAAGTTTTATTGTTAAGATTATATATTATATGTTACGTTAGGTGGCAAAAGCGTAAGCTAAGAATATCTACATTAATTTTTTGCAATTTTATTTTGTTTAGGATTGCTGGAGTTGGCGCATAGAGAATACCAAGCTGTAGATTATGAAAATGCAGAAAGGCATTGCATGCAATTATGGCGGCAAGATAGCACCAACACGGGAGTTCTCTTACTGTTGTCGTCAATTCATTTCCAGTGCAGGCGGCTTGATAAATCTGCGCAGTTCTCGACGCTGGCAATAAAGCAAAATCCAGTACTTGCAGAAGCATACAGGTGAGGTTAATTACATTAATAATTAATAAGCTCGAAAAGTTTGTGAAAATTATTATAGCACAATAAGATCTACTGCTGAAAATTTCATCAGGATCGGATAAGAAAAACAGAATTTATGAATTAAAACATTTGCTTATGTTGACAAGCCACAAGCAACTAGCACAAGTTGCGACAGTTTCTATAGTTTTGCACCCTGAACGCATTTTAAACGGATAAAAAGTGTATAATGCTTTTGTGCAAATGTATGTCATAGGCAGAAGGAGGCATCTCCGACCACATACAGTATCTATATTCTTGATCTGCATTATTTTGGGAGATCGATAACTTGCCCCGCTTCCAGACAATCGATTAAATCGATAGTGAAATCCTGTTCTTGAGCGAATCTCTTCGGTTTTAGTTGGCTAGTCAACCCAGAGGAGTCGAATTAACGCGTAATAAACTATGAATAAATATTACATCAAGCATGGATCTACGAATATTGAAGAAGGAAGATTAATCTTAAGAAGTCTACAGGGTTATGACGTTAACCGCACACGAGGATCTCAGTTTAAACCACGAAGGACAAACAACAAGATTTATTTTCATACTCTAGTCTAGGTAGAAACAAATATATATAAAGGGTCCTTGTCATATACAGATCGTATTAGGATCAAACTTCAACCGATCAAAAGCTTTAGGTATAACAGTCGAAAAAGATGAAGTGCTTACATACAATTATAAAAGTTTTAAGATAGGTTTACAAAGTGCTGCAGAAAAACACCTGAGCCCACAAGCGGGAACATCATCCGGGCCCGTCGAGTATACCGGCTTGATTGTGTTAAGCTCGCTGAGAAGCGATCATTCAGTAATAATAGGATTTGAGATGAAGTTAGACCTCTGTAACTGATGAAGAAATGGCTGATTTTGATTGCTTAGGTTTATGTGCAAACTGAAGGCGACAAAGAAAAGTTTGATCGGGCAACTGCATTACGGGAGAAACCAGAGTGATTTTCCGATTTCTTAAACTTTTAATAACCCCACGACTTCACATTTTTTAATCTCATTAGTTCCGTTGGGAGGCCTATCAGACCTTGCTGGGAGATCAAGAGGGACGCAGATATCAAAGAGCGAGTACAAGGTATCATAAAATAGTTTAATGGCAACGTCAATGACTGCGCAATTGTACAGTTGACAAATCGACTTGCAAAATAAGATCATTTAGCTTGTGAAAATCAGCCTTACGGAAACCACGGACACGATCAGCTAATTCCGCTACCTTGATAGGCACTCGGACTGGTTGATCAATGACTATACCCTGAGTTGGATGAGAAGGGTCTTCAGGAAGTGTAAGCGGGTCAATCCTGTGCACAACACTATCGAACGTATCCAACACGAACATCAAATCAAGCGATTTATTGAATTATGCACCCGATTAACCTGCAGTAAGGACATCTCATGTAGACCATCAATAAACTCATTTGACATACAGGGTGGAATTCATTAGTGATGACCAACCAACATCCTAGGGGCTAAAGTCGCCAAGAATAACTAAGAGGTTCCTATCAAAAAGTAGCGAGGAGATAGATTTAATAGCGATAAGATGGCTTTGGTAAATATACATGTTAGATAGTGAGGGAATATAGGAACGTGAAATAAAGATACAGATAATGTCTGTCTGATTAAGCATGCCAATCTTAGAGAACATAAACCAAAACAAGTTTTATCATCAATGTGGACTATACTTCTAATATCTATTATTTGAAACTAAATGCGTTTAAACAGAAGCATATTTATGCCTAGGTGTATATTTTTAAAAAATTGTTTACGATCCATTATTGAATTATTCCATTATTAATCTTATAATTGGGCTTCCAGCAACCTGGGAAATGTTTACAAGGAGCGAGGACAGCTGCAAGAAGCGTTAGACAACTATCGTAGAGCTGTACGCTTAAAACCAGACTTTATTGATGGATACATAAATTTGGCTGCTGCATTGGTTGCTGCTCGTGATATGGAGTCTGCAGTTCAAGCGTATATAACAGCATTGCAATATAATCCAGTAAGTTTAGTTTTATATTACAATATATACAAAAATTCAAATTTAAAATTTCTACAGGAATTGTACTGCGTGCGTAGCGATTTGGGAAACCTCCTTAAAGCACTAGGTCGATTGGAGGAGGCAAAGGTAATTTTTCTAATTTCCTATAAAAGCCTTAAAGTTTTAATTATTCTCCATTTTCTGAACATTATAGGCCTGTTATTTAAAGGCCATCGAAACTTGTCCAGGATTTGCTGTTGCATGGAGTAATTTGGGATGCGTTTTCAATGCCCAAGGAGAGATTTGGTTAGCCATTCATCACTTTGAAAAGGCTGTCACCCTCGATCCTAATTTTCTAGACGCGTATATAAATTTAGGAAATGTACTAAAAGAGGCCAGAATATTTGACAGGTTAGTATACTAGTAATGTAATTGCATAATCCCAGTAGATTATCCTATAAATGGGTATTATTTATAAAACATAACGTTATGTTAACCAGAACATCTGATTTATTTATTAAATTACTTACTAACCAATATAAATTAAAGATCTTAGAACCTATAAGAGCTAGAGACTTGACCGCGCAGTACGAGCTTCTTTCCGTTAATCGATAACTTGCCCCGTTTCCGAGCCATCGATAAAAATCGATATCGAAATCCATTTTTTTTGTGCAAATCTCTTATGTTTTAAGACCAAATTTGACATGTAGCTTCTTGAATAGTATGTAAGTTGAAATGATGATGTGGGTGCTTCTTCAGGTATCTGGTTCCAGATTAATGAAGATTGCGTTGGGAATGTTTGGTTAAGCTTTCCTATCGCCAGGCTTGTGGCGTGGCAATAAAACCATATATGTATATTTCAACAGGGTGAAGGGGTGAAGCCGCGATTCCTGCGACCAGTATTATTTTGTACAAAGACATTTGAAAATAAAATTCGTTTATTTTTTATATGATCTGGAAATAACTTAAAACAACTTGAAACTTCGCGCTTACAACCTGTAAAAAAGATCTTTGAAAAAACTTTTATAAACTTTCATACAACCGTTTTCCACAAATTTACCACAGATGCGGGTCGAGTTCCTAAACTATCTTAAACACGAATTCATTCAGTTCTTACTGTGAGATAATGATCACGTTTATTTGTATATGTATTTATCAAATTAATTATGTGTATATATGTATATGTATTTATTAAATTAATTATATGTATATATGTATATATTGAGATCTTATTTAAAATGTCAAACTTATTTTCGCCGAGTCTTAGGTGCAATTGTCTAAGATAATGAAAGAGTGTTGATTAATTAATTTGTGTTAGTTTATTTTGCTACTAGATAGATCAGCAGCTTTGATTTGTTTTAATCCCCTGTTGGATGGCGTTTGTAGCAGCTGCCTTGCAGCTGCGCTGATGCGTCTAGCTGCCTGCGACTGAACTTTCCTGATTTTGGTCAGTTTTGTGTTTGAAGCTGTGTGTTTCTGTGTTATCACAAGATACCGTTAAAGATTTCTTTAAGAGCTTGGATCGCTTTGAATGGAAGCGACTTCAGAGTGGTCGCTGTGTTTTGCATTCCAGTCCCCGGTGATAATGAATTTTCAACCCAACCAATCAAAAATGGCGTGGAACTCAGTCCAATTTAATTGTACCTGGGAAAACAGTTGATAGACGCCAGCACTAGATCTCCGTGTTATGATTCTAGTCCAATCATTGTTAGCTGCATGTAACAGATTGTGATTGGATTAATAGAATAGGTAATAGAATAATGCCCCGATATCGTCATCGTTCTCGATTTTGTGAAATTCCATCTTCTTTGTTCCCATCTTATTGTTTATATTGTCTTTGATTTAACTTTAAACGGAAGTCAATCTCAACTTTTGAAAAAATATCGCTTCTAGCTTTTCTCTCGCGCTGGTGCTCTTTAAACGCGCACATTTGCATTTGTTTTCTTTTGGTGCTACACATATCTGTCCGCCTGGCCTTCTTTTCGTATACACTCACGCAAGATTCTTTCGGCGGCATTGACTGATTAGAGACTTATAACATACGCGTACATATATTTATCTCTGATCACTGCGTATGTTGATCTCAGAGACTATAAAACTTACAGAGAAATATAGATACACCATACAACAAATGTCCATAATCTAACATTCAAATGGTTCATATGGTTGTAGCAGATAGCTAAAGAGCGCCCCTCGTATGTGTAATATTTTTTGAAATCTAAAAATATCTGTGAAAATAAAAAGCATGGAGTTTTTGTAGTTGTTTTGCTTATAGAATACTTACTCGTTCATTCATTATCATTCTTGTGGATAAGATAAAAGGATGATTATTCATGCATAGTAAATTATTTAGTATTTATTCATATTAGTCTTTATGGCATCAACTAGTTTGAATTTAATAATTACTTTTAAAATTATGAAAAAAAAAATGTTTTCTGCTTATGTATTGTCGGCAAGCTGAATTCAAGAAACGACAAATTTTTTATGTACATGTATGAGTAAAGAATATTCAAATTTGAGTGCTAGACATGTAGATACCCTGTGGCAGAGTTTTATACGTTATATATTTGAATATTTAGAATTTTAAAGCATCTCAGTTTAATAGTTTAATGTATTTATATACTATATCTATATGCAAAATGAAATACTTACTTAAATCACTAATTATAATTCCATTTTTATACATACTAAAACAAGTATTTAAGTTATTTAGTGAGCCATATTCTGTTAACAATTTCTGTTTTTAAATGATGATCCAACACATAGAAATATAATATCGTATTACAGACAAATTTAAATTCTCGGCTTGCTTCCACTATAAACATTATCAGATGTATATTTAAACAATAATCCGTAATATCCGTTTTGTATGTCACTACTATACCTGCCCATAATTTATTCCGTACAGGGTATAAGAATATTTTCTAGAAAATTTGGTCATTTACAAAATTATGCACATAAGTTGTCCGTGGGCGGTTCACAGAAGTCGAAAGTCTTTTTAAAACAAAGAAAAATATAGTTTCTATATATATTGCGATACATAAAATAAAACTTAGAGTTATTAAATAAATAAAAATTAGGAGAGCTATACCATAAAAACAAGTACATTTATGTTAGTTAATTGCACACTTTTGGCAAAATAAATGTTCAGAAATGCATGTACGATGTTGTTGTAAACATGGACTGTCAAAGCATAATTATTTATACAATTGTCCCTATAAGAGTAGACCAAAATGATTCGAACTCATCTAAAAAAAACATAAAACACGCAAATTATTTGCATCGCTATTTAAACAAATTACGACTGTATTGGAATCGGTAAATACATTTTATCACATGAAACATTTTAATAAACATTAACACAGCTTACGGCCAGGTCGTTTCTTTGCTGTCTAGTTCGATTGCAAATTTGTATCAGTCATCTGGCAAGATATTCTGGCAAGTATTTTTAAGTTTAAAATATTTTTCCTTATTTCACGCAAGACACTTAATGTGAAATGCGAAATCCTGCCCAAGCATAATGTGAATGGCTTCGATGAGCAACGCAGAATTCATCTAAGTAGCTCATGCGCTAGTTGAGGGCGCTTCTGAAGACCAACCAAAGGACGTTCTCTTCAGCTCCTTTTCAAAAATACTGTACTTAGCACAATTTACTGTACACATTCGTTTGAAATGTTGTGGAAAGCCATACGTTAACACTTACGGAAGTGGGAACGCAGTGTATACGCGGCCATTGCTGTGTACAAATTAAAATATCCAACAATGTAGATGAGAATCTTACAATGCAGATTAGAGGATGCATTACGATAAATAGTCTGTACTACACAGCATTGAGTAATAAATATACAGAAAGGGAGAGCTTTTCATACACTGAACCCATTAAAAAAAGGGTAAAAAGGGTACAATGTTTTTGTGCAAATGTATGTAACAGGCGGAAGGAAGCATCTTTGACCCCATAAAGTATATATATACGTGATCAGCATCAAAAGCCGAATCAATCAGGCCATGACCGTCTGTCTCTCCACCTGTCCGGCCGTATGTATAAACGCAAGTATCTCAGAACCTACAAGAGCTAGAGACTTGAAATACGTAGGTCTTCCATAGTGCCTGCGCAGTACGAGTTTGTTCCTAATAATCTATAACTTGTTCAGTTTTCAAACATTCGATAAAAATCGATTATGCGTTAAGAGCTAGAGTCGCCAAATTTTACTCGTATATACAGATCAATAATCTTCCATTTTATACCTATCACCATCTCGGCACCGTAGATATAAATCAAATAAATCAATCAATTGGAACTGACCACCAATTTAAGCCAAAATTTCAATGTTGTTATCTTTTTGAACATATTCTATTGTACAATAAGATCTACTGTTGAAAACTTCATCAAGATCGGTTAAGAAACACAGAAGTTATTAAAGAAAACGTTTGATTATATTTGCACGGTTCGTCTGGCCGTCCGTCCATTTTACGTCGGTTGGCATCGTATTATTTTCTTGCACTTAAGCCCGTAACAAAACAGGTATTAATGCTTTTTCGACTGCTGCAAAAACCTTTGACAAAAATTAATTTAAAAAACAACTAAATTAGTTTTCATAAAAATGTTTAGATATTTTATAAAGCCCAAAATGTGAAGATAATTTTTTTCTGTATTAATGTTTTAATTAATATATATATATAATTTTTTGTATATTCTCGCTTATTTCAGGGCTGTGGCTGCATATTTACGTGCACTTAACCTTTCGCCCAACAATGCTGTCGTACATGGAAATTTGGCGTGTGTTTACTATGAGCAAGGTCTCATTGATTTGGCTATTGATACATATAGACGGGCTATAGAACTACAACCAAATTTTCCAGATGCATATTGCAACCTTGCAAATGCTCTTAAGGAAAAAGGACAGGTAATATATTCAATAGATAATTTAGCAACATATTTCATATTTAATGATCATTGGTTTCTTGTTGCTTATAGGTCAAGGAAGCTGAAGAATGTTATAACACTGCACTCAGACTATGCTCAAATCACGCAGATTCTCTAAATAACTTGGCAAATATAAAACGAGAACAAGGTTTTATAGAGGAAGCCACACGTCTCTATTTAAAAGCGCTCGAAGTTTTTCCAGATTTTGCTGCTGCGCATTCTAATCTAGCATCTGTTCTACAACAACAAGGAAAACTGAAAGAAGCTCTGATGCATTATAAAGAAGCGATTAGAATTCAGCCAACTTTTGCTGACGCTTATTCCAATATGGGAAATACTTTGAAAGAATTGCAAGACGTTAGTGGGGCATTGCAATGTTATACGCGAGCTATTCAAATTAATCCAGCGTTTGCTGATGCACATAGCAATTTGGCAAGCATTCATAAGGACTCCGGAAATATTCCAGAAGCCATTCAATCTTACCGTACAGCTCTAAAACTGAAACCTGACTTTCCTGATGCCTATTGCAATTTGGCTCATTGCTTGCAGATTGTTTGTGATTGGACGGACTATGATATAAGAATGAAGAAATTGGTTAGCATCGTTGCTGAGCAGCTTGAGAAAAACCGTTTGCCGTCCGTTCACCCACATCATTCGATGCTTTACCCATTAACACACGACTTTCGAAAAGCGATCGCAGCGAGGCATGCTAATTTATGTTTGGAAAAAGTCCATGTATTACACAAGCAGTCATTTAATTTTGCAAAGGAACTATCAAAAGACGGTCGATTACGCATTGGATACTTAAGCTCTGATTTTGGAAATCATCCTACCTCACATCTAATGCAGTCTATACCTGGCTTGCATGACCGTTCGAAAGTCGAAATTTTTTGCTATGCCCTTAGTCCCGATGACGGAACAACATTTCGTCATAAAATCAGCCGCGAATCAGAACATTTTGTGGATCTCTCTCTTATTCCTTGTAATGGGAAAGCTGCTGATCAGATTTACAAAGATGGCATTCACATTTTAGTTAATATGAATGGTTATACCAAGGGAGCAAGAAACGAAATATTTGCCCTTAGACCGGCTCCAATTCAAGTTATGTGGTTAGGTTATCCTGGTACAAGTGGAGCAAGTTTTATGGATTATATTATAACTGATGCAGTTACTAGTCCCAAGGAGTTGGCTTACCAGTACAGCGAAAAGCTGTCTTATATGCCTTTCACATATTTCATTGGAGATCATAAGCAAATGTTTCCGCATCTTAAAGAGCGATTAATCGTTTGCGATAAACAGCAATCCTCTGTTGCGGATAATGTCGCTGTAATCAATGCAACAGACTTATCGCCATTGGTTGAAAACACAGATGTAAAGGAGGTAAAGGAAGTCGTTAATGCTCATAAGCCTGTAGAAATTACACATAAAGTAGCAGAATTGCCAAGTACCACGCAATTAGTATCGATGATTGCCTCTGGTCAAGTACAAACATCTTTAAATGGCGTTCTCGTACAAAATGGACTAGCAACTACACAAACAAATAATAAAGCGGCTACAGGAGAAGAAGTTCCGCAAAATATTGTTATAACAACACGTCGTCAATACATGTTACCTGATGACGCAATTGTTTACTGCAACTTTAATCAACTATACAAAATTGATCCTCAAACTCTGCAATCCTGGGTAGTTATTCTGAAAAATGTGCCTAAATCAGTGCTATGGCTTCTAAGATTTCCAGCAGTAGGCGAGCAAAATATAAAAAAGTCCGTCAGCGATTTAGGTAAGTAATTAATAAATAAAGTGTGCTTTTGTCGAGTGTGCTCGACATCTCGGGTGAAAATCGTCTGATTTTGAAATGTTATACCTTTTTGAAGTCGTACGGATCCCTACTATCAATTGGCATTCAAACAAACTAATAATCGATGGGTAAAAAAAAGTAATTGACCAAAAACCGATTCGTTTGTAAAGTCAACCTCTTTCGATGATTTTTTAGAATATCTCAGACAAATAATTTTCGATTTTGGAATTTTATACCATTTTGGACTCGTTAGGATCAGTATTATCAATTGGCATTAAAAAAAATGAAAATCTAAATTTTTACACAAATCGACAAAAAAGCAAGGTGTTACATCAAGTGTTTTCTCAAATTCGGGGTCGGTTCGAAAATCAAATCTTTTTTGATGATTTTTTTTTTTAAATCTCGTGTAAATATCGTCTGATTTTGAATTGTTTTACCTTTTTATATTCGTAAGTATCCCTACTTTCAATTGGCATTCAGAAACCGATGGGTTAAAAAGTGTGTAAAGTCAACCTTTTTGGATGATTTTTAGTAATATCTCGGCCAAATAATGTCCGATTTGGGAATTATATACTATTTTGGACTCGTAAGGATATCATTTTATAATAACGAATATAATTATAGGACATTGCTCGTGCGTAGGCTAGGACATACAAATAATGTATTGAATTTAGGAAGCGTTTGCTAACAAATTTATTTCTGCAAGGTCTGATCTACTACTTAATTTTATACTTTAAGGTGTTTCATCTGAGAGAGTCATTTTTTCGAACGTTGCTGCCAAAGAAGAGCACGTACGTCGTGGGCAATTGGCTGACATTTGTCTAGACACTCCACTATGCAATGGTCACACAACATCAATGGACGTCTTATGGACCGGAACTCCAGTAATTACATTACCCGGAGAAACATTAGCTTCCAGGTAAATATTCTTCTACCTCTTAACTATAAATGATCCGTTTACGTTTAAAAATTAAATTTGTAAATTAGCTACAAACCGTAAAAGACAAAATTAAATTAGATTAGATTTTAATGATTTTCAATAAATATAATAAGTTTAATTTTTTGATTTAATTTCAGGGTTGCAGCATCGCAACTAGCGACACTTGGATGCCCAGAGTTAATAGCAAACAGCAGAGAAGAATATCAGGACATAGCTATTCGGTTAGGAACGGAAAAGGAATATTTAAAAGCTTTGCGAGCGAAAGTATGGAAAGCACGAGTCGACAGCCCATTGTTTGATTGTTCACAATATGCCAAAGGGTTGGAGAAATTGTTTTTTCAAATGTGGGAAAGATTTCACCGTAACGAAGATCCCGATCACATTTCTTCCGAATAAAGTTTTTGAAATCAAAAAAAGACTAAGAGAGTTGTCGTTAACTATCTTGACGGGCGATAATGTGTGCTATTTAGTTCGATTTTGTTTGACATATATATGCATGTTACACATTTTAAATACAAATCTTTCTGTAAAATCTAACAGTAGAGAGTAACTACTTATACAGTTACTTACTTTTTATTTATGGAATGCTTTGATAACCAATTTGACCTTTTAAAATAAGACGTTACCTTGTTTAAGTAATTAAAATAAAGTCGCTTAATACTGAACAGAGCATGTTTTAATATTTATTATATAAAAGAACTTTGCAACTGACTGGATACAGACAGTGTGATTATAGAGTGAAATAACTGGAACAAATTTCAGTGAAAAAATGCTCGTAAACAAAGGGAGCAATAGATTGTTTCCGGCCCCTTGTTTATCAGACTTACAAAATGTTAACACCATGTCTGTCTTGGATATTGGCAGCGAAATCAATTGCTTTCTTCGGCTTTTCAACAAAAATCACACGAATGAATATTGAAGTTATCGCAATGCCGACACAAGCCACAAAGTCAGTCGCCAGCCTACCTTTAGCAAAGCTGGTCGAAGTTGATCTGTCTCGCTTCTTCTTTGAAGTACATTGAGCGAAAGACCTTGTACTTACGATCCAAGCCTAACACGTATGCCTAATCCATTATATTCATACCTTTCAACAAAGACATTTTATCTATGTTACAGGTAGGTAGGTGGGTGGTCCTTCGTGGGCCGCCTTATTGGAGTTATACTTCCTTTGGATCCAAAAGCACCCTATTTGATCTAAGCGAAATTAAAAACTCGGTGCATTAAAGTTAACTATTTTCTTTATAAAACAATCGCAACAATCTGAACCATTTACAAGTTTTAAAATGCAGGCCAATCTTCAGGAATTATAAATTTATTAATAAAGATACTAGGACTATTTTATATCTAGAAATCGAGCTGTGTAAACTTTCTCTCGATGGTTGGAGCTTAGAATATTATTTATTACTGGCGCAACACGGTTTATCCTCTGCTGAAATCTTTCGCGATCGCGAGCAACCTCTTGCCAATCACCCTTTCGAGCAGCTCGATAAGCAAAGTCCCAAGCGTGCATTACATGCACCTTTGGTTTTAAATTAAAGCGCACCTGAATAAAAAGAGAGAATTAATTTTGTTTTCAAATCTTTTTTATGATTTTACTAACCCTTTTCTGAACTTCTTGGCTATTGTTGTAAGCATCTGACATTTTATCGGCGGCATTGCAATCAGTACAACCAACTGCAGCAGAATCTATACTTTCGCTGTCGTCCTCAAAGCATATAAAGCTATCGTCGCTACATTCGGAAATACTTCTTTGACGCTTCAGCTTGAAAAGAGCAGCTTCTAGCGTCAATGGACTTCCACTTAGATATTGTTTATCCGACATATTTTTGTAGTTTTGACAAGAATCCAAATTATAATGCGAAAAATCGTAATTATTTCCCGACTGCGGTTGCATATCGATGAAAAAGTAGCAAAATGAAGGCGCAGGACTTGAATCAACTTTATTCTTAGGCGGCTTCTGCTGCAGTACCGACTGCATTTGGTTAACAACCAACTGCAAGGAATACATTGCTGCGGCGAGTGGCTGTGGCTGCAAATCGTCCAACAATATGTTCGTACTTCCTTCCTCGCGATTGCTTAGCAATTCTGATTTGTCTGAATCTGAAGATTGGGTATGCCGCGTTGCCGCAAATCGGTAGTGATTATGGATAGGGGAGCTCATGATGTCAATCATCGGCAAAGGATGCAGCAGTCAGGCAGTATAATTTATAATATTGATTTGTAAAGCATTTCAATATTCACTTAAATTCCACAAATTCCCGAGCGCATTTGCTTTCGAATATCCATTTCCTGCATTCCGCATTTGTAATTTAAGACTTTGTACATTTTTAGTAATCCATCTTTTGTTTGAATTTGTACGACAATAAAGTAAATTTTAACCTTGTTCGCAAATTGTGTTTCTGTACTAATGACTGTGTGTAAGTTAAAACGTGCATAACAATAATGCATACTATGAAATAGTTAGAAACGGTTGCGAAATTTTAGTGGCTGAATTATTAACAATAATTCTTATCCATCTGATAGTTTTTATCTTCGTTATGAAATTGTAAGAAATTTCTTGTATTTATACGTTCAGGAACAATTATATTAAGAAAATCGAATCCACTCGTTATTATTAAAAGAATTCTCATACTGCTCAACTTGTGTAAATATGGCAAATATTAGTGCTCTTCATGGTTATCTATTGCTAAGGTCGTTACTCATCTATCGATAGTACACGACTGTTCCCACTAGGCACGTTACTACAAGCAAAAACACGTTTGTGTTAAAATTAAAATGAATGATTACAATTAAATTTACTATACAAAATGGAAAACATTCAGCATCTGTGTAGACAACTTAAATATGCACTGCGTGTCATCAGATTAGCTTGTCATCAGATAAGTATTTTAAGAAAATCTAATCCACACGTTATAATTTACAGAAATCTCATACTAATCAAGTTGTGTAAATATAGAATATGTTAGTGCTCTTATTGGTTACCTCTTGCAAAGTTCGTTACATATCTATCGATAACACACGACTATTTTCCACTAGGTACGTTACTACAAGGAAAACAACGTATGTGTTTAAATTAAAGTGAATAATTAGATTTGAATTTTCTATACAAAATGGGCAATATTCAACTTCTGTGTAGACCATTCGACAACTTAAGTATCCGCGTGTCATCAGAACCACACATTTATAAATTTGTTTTGAAATGTTTAAAATATAAATAGTTAAAACCACTATCGTTAATCAAATATTTTGAAATAGAGGAATTTTCGCAGTTGGCTCTATTATGATGACCAAATTTTCGTTAATTTTTTTTCTGTAGGCTTTTAATTATAATATTATCTTGATTGGTACAGAAGCAATTGTTGTCTTGGATAATATCTGTTACGGAACTGGCTTTTCCCTTTGGGCCGCGCCGGCTGGCGCACAATCGATATCAACGTGCCAGCGAACGGACGTACAATACACTATAGCAAAACGAACTACAACAAATGAACAACATAAACAGCTGGAACTACAAAAAAATGAAAACAACAATAGTAAGACTCTAACACAAAACGACAAGGTGGCGTGATAATATGCTTAATCGTTTAATCTACCTTACTTTCCTTAGTTTTCTGTGGTTGGTAAGGGGTGACAGAAAAAGCTTTCTCAGTTTTCAGAGATCTCTTATGAAAAACAGTTTAATTTTGGCCGAGTTATGGGAGTGGATAATAAAGGATATTTGAGGACAGCATTTTCATTTAAATTTTGTTGCTGAATTTCTTTAATTTTTCGAGTAATTCTTCTATTTCACTATCGTTACAGACAGCATTGTAATAGCTTTGTTAGCAATATTTACTTATAGGATATCAATGAACGGTCCACTTATATGCTCTTTTTTATATATTTATATAAACTGTTTATGTTTTTGCTGTTTCTATTCTTCCGCTTTAGTTCTTTGTTGTTGTAAAAATTTTCCAGTCGCTGCCGTCGTTGGTGACGTTGTGTGCTGCTTCTGTTGTTGTTGCGATTTTTATTCTGCGGCTGCTGTCGCTATATGCTGCTTCAGTTGTTGACTGAATCTGGTTGTATTTTTGAACATTGGGCGCCAATTAAGCAGTTTATAAAGCGAATCTTGTTGTCATTATATGGGATCTAGGAGCGATCGTATCATATACTAGGTGTGTTACCCCATCTTGTCAGAAGCTTCATTTGCGATCTATATTTGGGACCTGCAAATAGATGTACTGCGTCTAAAATGCAGGCGCTAGTCTTTAAACCCAATTATGTCTGGTCCACATTTACCGCCGATAAAGCTCGAATTTTTCGGTGTGATACAAGTCTCGAATGAATTTTCATAGATACTTGAATTTGAACCTGAAACTTAAACCACAAACTATTTGCCACCATATTAAATGAAGCATGAAAAACCTCTCAAATGAGTTTGAGCCAAGATCTTTGAAAATGAGTTTGGGCCGATAGGATGGTTAGCAAAAACATCTCATTCAGCCGTTTTTCGCCATTTTTCCATGCTTAGTTTAATTTTCCAAAACTCACATAAGCTTACCATAGTCAATACTTCGGAGATATCTTCTTCTGGCTGCTATATACATTTCCACAAAACCAATTGCATACTTTTTAGCCATTTTTATTCATATTTTTTCTATGACACGGCCCAACCAGTTGCTCGAGTAGCGTGGTGAGCTAAGACACTGAGCGACCGAACCCCAAGCTGATACATTCTTTGCTTTTAATGTAAATTATATTAATTAACAAATTACAACAGATGTTTTTTTTCGTGAAATTGAGGCGATACAATATTTGTATAAGAAAAAACTACCACAATCCCCATGCATTTTGCATTATCTTATGTTTGAGCGTCGGATCAGCAAGTGAAGGTCAATTCATACGCTGCTCAAGTTATCACCATTTTTATTAGCATCTTTTAATTCAATCAGTAACAGCGATCTACGCAAATTCCCCTGCAAAAATCTATACCTAATACGAAAACGATATATTACTTACATGGGAAATGTGAGCAAGGGATGCGCATGCAAAGATGGGTGATAATATATTAACGGCTTTCCCAAAAAACTAATTAGCTAGTGTTATCACAAAAGAAACATAGTGATATCCATGTCAGTGCTTGAATAAAACGGATTTATATATCTGCATATAACTGATTTATATGTCTGTGTTTCAATACATTTATTTCATTCTTGGAAAATTGAAATTACAAAAGCCGCATATCCACAAATTTACAGCTTCAACTTAGTACGCCTCCAATGACGACGTTTGGCATTGTACCTAAAAGAAAACGTAAACATTAGTATTTTTCAAAATTAAATAAATATCAATAATAGTACAATTTGCCACAAAAAGTTATAGTCTATTTATAAAGTAGGATGCACATAGGACCTGATTGATGGGTTGGTTTTAGCAAATGTCGATTTTGACAATTTGTGGGGTAATACAGGGTCCACCCGCCACCCAGCCAGCTGTAAAATTATTCAAATTTTCTCAATTTGTCCACTACCATACCCGGCAGGTATATAACCTATATAAACTACTGGCATACTATACAGTTGACAGTTTTCTTGTCCAAGTCTAGCACCCCAAAAGATTTTTCTCTAATTATTCCCTTGTAGAGGGTACAATAATTTTTTTTACAAATTGTGTAATGTATATAT